CTAGAGTATTATTCTCATGTAAGTGACATTTTTTGTCTTTTTTGAGAAATAAAGTCTTTAAACCTAACTAGCCACATTGATACATAAATTCTCTGAATGTACTTACCTTAAAAAATCTTCTTTTAATAAATAACACAGTTTATATAAGAAAAGTAATGTGTATTTTAATGGATACTTATTAAAACATTAAACTATACCCAACGTCAAACGTGTAACTTAAGGTGTAAAAGTGGGTACCTGAGCTATTTTTTTCAAAACTTCGAGGGCGTTGCGCGGGCTGTTCCACTTAAAATAATTAAATAATATTTTAAAGGGTTTATAACAATACCTAACTACAACATATTTTCGCTATTAGAAATCGATTACTTAAAAAAAAAAATTTTGACCCACCCTATTGGGGAGGCTTGAATAAACAATTATTATTTAGATCGGAGCTGTCCAAAAAAACAAATATTATTTAAATAGGTTAGGTTAGGTTAGTATATGAATATTTATTTTTAAAATAACTGTTCAACTGAAACTGATCAACTATGATTGATTTTCAATTATTTTTTATATTAAAATCGAATAAAAAAATCGAATTTCACTTTTAAAGAAATCGATTATTTTTCACATCCCTATTAATTTTATAAACGCAAACGGCCATTTCGAATGTGGATTTTGCTAGAACAGTGTGTGAACAGTCTTACAGTGCAGAATATCCGTTAGAAATCCGTTACTTAAAAAACTATTATTAACAATCGATTAATTAAAAAACGATTTTCTAAAGTGAATGTCACATCTCTTATAGCCAATAGAAAAGTAGAAAATGGCGGATTGTTTACAAAATTCAATACATTGCACAAAACTTTATTTTTTTTTTAAAAAATACTTAAACGCGTTTCCTGCAGCAAAAATCACTTGGAGGTGTTCCAATGAAGGTCCCTCGAGACTGCTAAATAGTTAGTATCATAAAAAAAGTGCGACGGTAATCAAAACTATTACCGCCTTCAGCTTCTTGTAACATTTTATATAACAACATTTATAAAGCGTATAAATGTTCAAATTAAATAAAGTTTCTTAATGCTGACACTAAATAATATCTGTTGTTATGATTGAATAACGGGATCATCTCGGCGGTACGTGCGATTAACACTCCTCTTGCGTTCAAAATCCGGCTTGGCGTCAATGGATATTAATACTCTCGTTGTGAGCCTAATCCATCACGTAGCACAAAACAATTGCAAGTGTTGATAGTACCGCACTGGCTCCATATAAAAAAAAAAGGGTGCGTGTACTTATGTACGCGCGTAAGAAGTTATACTTCTTTGGCATTATTAAAAATAGTTTTTGATTGCATGCAAATAATTAATTACAATTAAATAATCAAAGACTGGAAAAGGAGTCATTAAAGTCAATAAAGTTCAGTTTACATTTGAAAAATTAATTAAATAAATATTTATTATTATTCTCTTACATTAAACAAATAAAACACTATTTATCTTTAAAACATTTTTATTTCATTATACTATTTATTTTTAAGTGACTCTAATGTCTTCATCAGAATTTCGGTTTGTAATTTTAAATTAATCATTACTTGGTTGTGCATCTACGAGGCTTCTCCAAAACTACTTGCTTTCTGCAACAAATAAGAGAATATTAATTTAAGCTCTGTCCATGCAAAACTTAAAATTTTTTATAATTCATATTATAAATTTTTTAACACATTTATATTAATATAATTATATAAATGTGTTAATAATATAATTTGTAGCACATGCTACAGACCTGGATAGCAACTTTCTTTTATTCTATTTAGAGATAGAGATAATTTAAATATAATACCGGTGTCTTCCTTGTAGGTTTCTTTGGAGTTGTTTGGGGATTCTTGTTGTTCAGTTCGACATGATTTTTTTTAACCTTTCTTTAATCCTACAAAATAATGAAATTGTTAAGTTATGTTGTCACTGTTGTGCACACCTTTGTTTGGCTTTTTTAGTATTCAAGTTATGTCAAAACTGATTTATTACCTTGTCATTGTTGGCTTTTGGGATATCAATTGTTTCCAAAATGATTTTATTTGTAATATCCTGAAATATATAAATAACATCTATTAATTTAAGTATCATGGTGAGTGGTTCGCACTCAGGTATTAAGGTGTATTATACCCACTGTCCATTATAAGTGGGAATGGGCTCACTTCTGGCAGGACAGAGTTTCGGTACTACAAGTGCAACAAGGATGTTTTGAGGTATTACAATATCTCTAACTACCCAGTAGGGGAATAAAGTAATGTTGTAAGCATATGCCTATGCTTGAAAGGTTGAACCTTGAACATCACCATACATCATATTTATAATTAACATTCCTACCTCGACACCATCACAATCAAATTCATTGAAATCTACTTCAAACCATTGTGTCTCGAGAAGGTGATGGTGGCTTTGTTCCACCTCCAGTTTTTGATGTTTCACGGCGATAAGATGACAACTCTTTTTTTGTATTCAATTTAGTGCACTTCCACTGATTCATCAATTGTTTTTTGTCTCTTGTCCTTATATTTGCTAGATTAAATCTGATGTTTTGATTAAATAATGTGGTCATTTTTTTGAGATGCAGGTACTTATTAAAATGTTTACTTCTCTGTTATATCGCTCCAAGCCTTCATTTTCTCCTTATTAGTATTCGTGCTTAAATCTTTGTTCTCAATTATTGATATATAGGGTCGTAGAATATTTCTAAAAAGTTGCTGTAACAAACGCAATAAACAAAAGCAATGAATAATGGTTCATGTTTCAGTTTTAATCAACAATAATACTCGATAATACATACGGATAGTTAACCTCAATTGTATTGAAGCACTCAGGAAGGTTAGCACAGTTTTTTCACAAATATTTTATATTATTTCACAAATATTTTGTATAATGAAAATAACTAGGTATATAATTATTAATTTTAAACAATAATTAAAACTCCTATATTTGTTTAAAAGGTAAATGTCATTGTCAGATGTCAATTGTCATGGTCATTCAAAATTCTTGGCTGCTAAGCTAGAATATGCGTGAAGTTAGCTTCACGCATATTCTATTTCTTTTTACTTGTAGTTTGTCTTATTCCCATCTCGCTCGCGCACGCTATATCACACTGCCAATTTTGTGTCATAGGTGCGCGCGCAATCGTAAAATTTCACTCTCATCAATTTTTCATAACGCGCCTAAAGAAGTACAACTTCAATAATTATTCGATATCTATAAGGAAACTCTGTGTTTGTCGCTAGTACCCAATTAGTGACCGCAGCTGGCCACGGAATATTTGACCACATTTACCATGGAACTAGGGATGTCTAAACTCATCGATAGAAATGCCGATACACGCAGTGTTTATTGCAATGAAATGTTTATTGTATATAGTCGGAATGTGAATACCCAAATTTACGTTATCACTGTTTTTACTTATTACACTCTTTGATAAAGCGTATCTGCTTATAAAAAACAAAGGGAATATCTTAAAACTAAAGAGTATACACATATGTACATATTACATATATATAATATGGGTAATAAATAAACATTATGGAACACACACAATTAGTTGTAGTCGTTAACATTGTAAATTTTCAGGGTTTCAACTACCAACCTTACACTTGTTATTTATTAAATCTTAAAATGAAGGATGCCCTACGGCCTATTGGAATTTTAACAAAGACAGTTCTTTGAATCACTTTGAATCATACATAATTCTCCAAAAACTGCGTTAATATTATATAAGGGTCATAGTATGTATGACGTCCTGATATTTTCCATTTTAGCAAGAAATGAACTATATTTTATAAACACCATCAAATCCGTAATTAATGTAGATAATATGTATGGACATGGATTCTGATATCGATCGGTAGTGTCTTTATTTTATACAAATATGGTTGCCAAAAATAGAAATAAACTTTAAAGGGATATGGATGGTCTAAACAAAAAAAATATTTTAAATAACATTATCGTCTTTCTTCGCATCCCTAGTACGTAAAATAACTTATCATCATATAATCATTCATAAATAGATTGAACGAAGTCTTTTACACAAACAAGCGATCGCATGGAAATTAACAGATCATAATAATTGATGATATTTCAGCGAAAACTTTTCATAAAATGTGTAACCAATATCGTTCCAACCGAAGGATTTTCTATATACATTAGGTAAAGTTAGTCTTTTTTTTAAATTAGAACCTATTAACAAATTATTGTTGAGTGATGAAGTGACGATTATATTAATAATACTCACAGTTACTTTTGGGAATATTACTATATTTTCCTCATGGTTATTTAAAATGCGATGTTTTAGGGGAAAACTACTTCATCACTGGTTTCCTTGACTATTTTGCAATATTTTAGACCATAAAGGATCAATTTCAATTTGATTTATATTAACAGTTTGGTCCATAATAGACCTGATGTTTAAAAAGGGGGTACCTAAACGTTAAATATGGCTCTTGGCGGCATACGTGGGTTACACTGAAAATGTTCAGAACTGGCCAGTTAGAAACATTGCTGAATAAAACTTTTTTTTCAATTTTAGAACCCTTTGGTAAACTATTGATATTACTCGGTATGTATTTTAATTTTGTTTTATTTTTATTATACACGTTATTTGTCTTTTTAATTATTTTCAGGAAAATTTTATAACATGCAGTTCAGTTTATCATATCACTTTTAAATTAATAAAATATTGTTAAAAATTAAGTGACTATTAAATAATGTCATGTCTCATTAAGCTAAAAATCTATAATAAAACTGTTAAATATGTATCATATTGTATCATCAATAATGTTTATGTACTACTAGCGACATCTAGTTTGTTATAAGGAAAGGACTGCTTTGTGGGTCTATGTATGATTGTCATTGAATTAAAGTTAGTCTGTCAACGTCCAACGTTGTTTAATTATTATAGGTTATGGGCCCAGACCCGTTTTTAAGTGTATTATGGAAGTTTAAAGTATTCTCTTTATCCATACTGCTATAATAATGTCGGTGAATTATATAGCCAACGTCCCAAAGTTGAAGGGTCGTGAAAACTATGACGACTGGTGTTTTGCGGTGCAAAATGTTTTAGTGCTAGAAAACATGGCGGATAAAATCAAGACACAGCTATCAGCATCGGCGTCTGCGAGTGATATTGAAAGTGATGCTAAGGCCAAGGCAAAATTGATATTAACATACATATTACATCTTTATATGTTCATATCAAGCAGGCAGCTACGGCATATGATTTATGGTCTACGCTTAAACATATGTATGATGATTCCGGCTACATGAGGAAGATTAGTCTACTGAGAAATCTCATTAACATTCGGCTAGAAAACTGTGAGTCAATGGCACAGTATGTTACTCAAATTGTAGAAACGGGCCAGCGACTTCGAGGAACAGGATTCAGTATAACTGATGAGTGGATTGGAGCATTAATGTTAGCGGGATTGACCGAAAAATATGCGCCTATGATAATGGCCATTGAGCATTCTGGAATTGAGGTTAGTGCAGATATTGTAAAAACAAAATTGGTATACATGTGTGCTGATGATTATGTTGGTACTACATCCGGTTCAGAAAGTGCATTTATTGCGAAAGGAAGACATAGATTAAAAAGTGGCAATACTAAAAGCGGCCATATTAATAGACAATCAGATACGACGCAACCTATCAAAATTATAAAGTGCTACAAATGTAAACAAACCGGTCACTATAAAAATCAGTGTGCGCAATCGGATAATACTAAACGAAAACAGACCAATGCCTTCAGTGCTGTTTTTCTGAGTGGAAATTTTAATAAGAACAGCCGGCATATCGATAGTGGCGCAAGTAAACACATGACTGCAAACAAAGATAACCTCACGAATGTATCGCAGCAGCAGGAAACCAAAGAAATTATTATCGCAAATCAGACTAGAGTTTCAGTGTTGTGTTCTGGCGACGTAAACATCGTTACAGTAGTCAATGGAGAAGAATACGACGTTACAGTTACAGATGTATTGTATGTTCCGAATTTAAATACTAACTTGCTTACTGTGAGTCAGTTAATAATGTAATTTTCAAAGGAGATTTTTGCTATGTTTATAATCAACAGAAAGAACTCGTTGGCCAAGCAGAATTAGTCGATGGTGTGTATAAATTACAAACGTTACAAGTCGATGAAATATTTGCAGCACCTGCAATAACATCATGTGAGACTTGGCACCGGCGATTAGGGCATATCAATAGTAATAGCCTGAATAAAATGAAAAAATGGAGCTGTAGATGGAATCACATATCCTGAAGTGGTAAACATAGGCAAATCTTCATGCCCTGTTTGTTGTGAAGGCAAACAAACTAGGTTGCCTTTCAACAAAAGTTCATCAAAAACAGAGGATGTGCTGGAGATTATTCATGCAGATGTTGGAGGTCCTATGGAAAATCAATCGATTGGAGGATCAAAATACTATGTTTTGTTTGTGGATGACTATAGCAAAATGGCATTTGTTTATTTTATGAAAGCTAAGAATGAAGTGTTCCATTATTTTCAAGAATTTCAGAGAATGGTAGAAAACCAAAAAGAAAAGAAAGTCAAGGTTCTTCAAACTGATAATGGAGGGGAGTTTTACAGTCGTGAATTTGGCAGTTATCTAAATAAGCAAGGTATAGTTCACCAGAGAACTAATGCTTATACACCAGAACAGAATGGTCTCTGCGAGAGGATGAACAGGTCAGTAGTTGAAAAGGCCAGATGTTTGATCTACGATGCTGGATTAGAGAAGAAGTTCTGGGCAGAAGCCGTCAACACATCAGTATATTTGAGAAATAGATCAGTTGTCACGGGGCTGAATAATAAGACTCCTTACGAAGTATGGACTGGTCAGAAACCAAACCTTAGTCATTTGCGTATTTTTGGCAGTGTAGTCATGGTTCACATTCCCAAGGAAAGACGTTTGAAATGGGATAAAAAGGCCAACAAGCTAATTTTTGGAGGTTATGCAGAAAAAACTAAAGGATATAGAGTATATGATCCTGTAACTAACATTGTCACAATCAGCAGAGATGTAGTTGTCAAGGAAAGTCCGAACCAGAATATGTTAGAAATACCATTGGAATGTAAGCATCCAGTGGAGGTAACTGAGCAAGAGAATGATTATGAAAAAATTGAGAGCTCTTTCTCTAAAGCCGATTGTGGGGATGAAACTTATGTCCCAGAATCTGAAGTTTCAGTGAGTACTTCCAATGATAAGTCATTTGACACAGTCTCAGACCCAGGTGTTGAACCAATTGAGCCAGAGCAATTACCCAAACGCACTAGAGTGAGACCAGATAGGTATGGTTATAATAACTTGTGTATGGTGGTGTGTGAAGACGTGTGGTGTGTCAAGGAGAGATCACACTCGGAGAGGCATTAAATGGCCCAGAAAGTCAATTCTGGCGAGCCAGTATGAAAGAAGAACTAAAATCATTCAGAGAAAATGAAGCTTGGGAAGTAATGGACAGGCCAAAGCAAGCTACAGTGGTTAAGTGTAAGTGGGTGTTAAAGAAAAAAGTGGACAGTGATGATAACATAAGATATCATGCTCGGTTAGTTGCTAAAGGTTTTACACAGAAAGCAGGAATAGACTATACCGAAACTTTTTCCCCAGTGGTTCGTCACTCAACAATAAGACTATTGTTTGCATTAAGTGTTAAATATAATCTAGATATAACTCACCTCGATGTAACCACAGCATTTTTAAATGGGCATTTAAATGAAGATGTATACATGTGTTTACCTGAGAATTTTGAATGTCATGATAGGGAGAACAAAGTGTTAAAACTAAAGAGGGCAATCTATGGGTTGAAACAATCAGCTAGGGCATGGTATAAGCGTGTAGATGATTGTTTACAATCTTTTGGATATAGAAAGTCAGTGTATGAACCTTGTTTATTTATTAAACAACATAATACTACCAGAACATATATAGCTTTGTTTGTAGATGATTTTTTTTTTATTTTTTCTGATTGTAAAAGAGAAACTGAATGTCTTAAGACTGAACTAAAATTTAAATTAAAAGACTTGGGAGACATTAGACAGTGCTTGGGTATGAGGGTCAGAAGAAAAAAAGATGAGATTTTTGTAGACCAGGAACAATTTGTTGATCATTTGTTGAATAAGTTTAATATGAAAAATTGTAAACCAGTTAGTACACCGATGGAGGTAAATTTAAAGCTTAAAAAGGGAGACACTTGTTGTAATCAGTATCCTTACCAGCAATTAATAGGAAGTTTGCTATATTTATCAATGTTAACCCGTCCTGATATATTTTATTCTGTTTGTTACCTAAGTCAGTTTAATAATAATTATAATGAAACACATTGGAACCATGTAAAACGTGTTTTAAAGTACTTGCAAAAAACAAAACATTTAGATTTAAAATATGTCAAGGATGATTTAGATTTAATGGGCTATGCTGATGCTGATTGGGCATCAGATTGTGTGGACCGTAAGTCTTATACAGGTTTTATGTTTAAGATGTCTGGTAGTGTCATCTCATTTAAATGTAAAAAACAATTAACAATAGCTTTGTCTAGCACAGAAGCTGAGTATATGGCTATATGTGAGGCAAGTAAAGAAGCCATTTATTTAAGGAACTTGTTAATAGAATTGAAATGTAGAAATGAGTTACCTATACTATTATATAATGACAACCAGAGTGCACAATTGTTAACTAAACATAGTTTATTTCATAAAAGAAGCAAGCATATTGATGTTAGATTTCATTTTATAAGAACAGCTGTTGAAAATAATTTTATTGTAATAGAGTACTTAAATACAAATGATATGCCAGCAGATATATTAACAAAAAGTTTATGTTGCCAAAAACATTATAATTTTGTTAAACAGTTAGGTGTCACTCCATTGTAGAATGAAATTTGTTCACTTTACTATGTTTCAAATGATTAGTTGTTTTTTCTTTTGTCTATATGTCAATTATTTTGATAAGGGAGTGTGTTAAATATGTATCAAAATAATGTTTATGTACTACTAGCGACATCTAGTTTGTTATAAAGAAAGGACTGCTTTGTGGGTCTATGTATGATTGTCATTGAATTAAAGTTAGTCTGTCAACGTCCACCGTTGTTTCATTATTATAAAAACCACCTTAAAGTATTGCACCTTGGCATATAACAGTTTCTGTTATATGTATGATGTAAGAATAATGAAATTACTAAATGATTATATTTAGATATTTCACAACATTTAATTTTCTTTGAAATTCAATTGCTTGAGTAGTATATTACTTATCTCACTAAAATTTATTTTGCTTATTTTCAGTGATGATCCTAATGAAAAACTTAGAGATAGTTGTGATGGTACCTTCCTAGTCCGTAATGCCTCCAACAAAGATGGTGGTTACACTCTAACAGTGAGAAATGGAACAAATAAATTGATCAAGATATACAATCAAGATGGCCGTTATGGATTGTGTGAACCCTATGAATTTAATTCTGTTGTTGACCTTGTACGATTCTACAGAGAATACTCATTGGCACACTGCAACAGTAGCCTTGACATTAAGCTTATGTACCCTCTTTCAAGGCACCAAGAAAATGAAGGTGGTGAAAATATAAACGATGATACTCTAGAAATAAGTTACAAGGATATTCACAAAAAATTTGTCCTTCGAACTAGAGATTACAACGAACGATCTAAAAAATATTTACGCCTCAGGGAAGAAGTGAAATTTAAAAGACAGACTTTAGATGCTTTTAAGGAAACAGTAAAAGTATGTGAAGAGCATTTAAAATTACAAGAAAAAATGCAAGCTGAGGCCCAACCACATGAAAAAAATGATCTAATTGAAAACAATAGACAGCTGATTTCAAGGGTAAATAGTTTAAAACAAGCAAGATGTCAACACCACAATATCCTGAGGGAAACTGTTGAATCTAATTTGCTTTTTGAAAGAGAAATTACTAAATTAAAATCAGAAGACATAAATCTATATAAAATTAAAGATAGATACAAAGTGTAAGTATAATTTTAATATAATATATAAATTGTTCTTTTGACTGAGGCTAAAAAGTAGGTGGAATTTATTGTATTTTACCTTTATTTTAAACACTTTCTAACTTTATAAATAAATTCGCATAATTTTCAGATGGCTTCAAAAGAGCGGTAAGACAGAAGAATATTTACAGGCATTAGAGGATGATAACATTATTAGTAAATATTTACAAAATACGAAGTGACCACATTCGGGCAAAAACTAAAATCACCTACGCGCTTACCCATCACTTACAGCTGCCTTGTGATTCTGTAACTCACTTTTCGAACTCTCACAGCGGCGGTTGCGCTCAAATCAGTCGTAAAGCAGTCATTTTACGATTTGGCATTCTGATAAACAATAAACTACAAGCTCCCTCCTTATAAATAATATATATTCCATAATAGTATGGAATTAAATTGGCTTTATTAAAATGCTTTTATATAAACATAGGTACAATAACAGGTTGACTGATGCAAACCGTTTAAATTAAGCAATAATTTTACCTGAATAGTTTCCATAAGTGACTCAAATTTCTTCTCATCAAGTTCCGGTATAAATGGTCGTATTATAACTGACATCGGTACATCATGTATTTCCTCAACATACGCACTGTGTATACTTGTCATTCTTACGGGTACTAAATACAAAAATAAAATAAAGGAAAGCATATCTTGTAGTGGCGACATCTTCCATTTACGTTTGCTGACATATCATATAAACATTGTGTAAAATACTGATAATATAATGAGTTTTCCGTGTCTATTAAAGGTTAACATTAATATTTGAAAACGAATACTTTGAACGAATACTACTACTGGTTTCACCACTTTAAAATTACATGAATAGTGCTATGCGTATGCTACAAATGAATGCAACTTGAAATATTTAAATTTAGCGCCATTTCTTTGGTTAAATTTACACTTTTTTATTAAACCTGCTTGATAAATTTATAACATGGTTAATATCAATTTACTTACGGTCAAGTTATTCTACAAAAAACGTGGAATAAAATCATAATTTGAATGTATTACTTACTACGTATATTTTTCACTATCACAGATTTTGGCAATAGTATAATCGATTTAATCATAACAATTTTATGTTTTCAGGGCCACATTGATATCACTCGACTGGCGAGTAGCGTATTTACTTGTTGACTGAGTTACAATAAAATATATTGAGCTTCACAAGGCCATTCAAATATGTGTTTAGCTTAAATTCTACTGTTCCAATGATGAAATTTTGACAGGGAACTGTCACAAATGCTGGAATAGGATTTAAAGCTTAAATTTTAAACCAAGGATGACTTTTACTTTCGAGAAAGTTGTGGACCGCACATGATCTGAAGCCTAAATATACCACAGTACAGAGCAGTGTTGGCCTAGTGGTTTCAACGTGTTACTCTCATCTCTAAGGTCGTAGGTTTGATCTCCGGCTGTGCACCAATGGACAACATCGTAAGGAATGGCATGCTTTAGATCCAAAAAAGTCGACGGTGTGTTTCAGGCACAGAAGGTTGATCACATACTTGCATATGAGAAATGACCACAGAACAGATAATCTCAAAGGTAGCGCCATTTGTATATACATTATACATATTATATACTATATATATATATAAATATACTAGCTGACCCGGCAAACGTTGTTTTGCCATGTATAATATTGCTAGGAAACATTTTTTTAGTTCAATAAAATATTCATTTTCTTAGTTTTTTAATCAGATCAATTATATGATAAAGTGGGATTTAAGTTAGGCCTCATGTCTCACTGTTATGTGTGTGCCTCACTGTGTATAAATAGAGTTGACCCAGAAACCTAGGCAATATTTAGTCACTATTGATAATGACATAAAATTGCTGTGCTCTGCTTTGCAATATCGCAACCTTCGAAGTTCATGATACGTAAATAAAGACAAATTACACTAATGTTACCGTTTACTTTATAAATATAGATTTTAGACTTTCTTATTAAACAGCGATCCGGTTTGGTATTAATAAAACTTAGGTCACTGATGTTTTGGTGTAGGACTTCTTAAAGTAACTTTTTTACATTAAAGCAAAATCAATTTATGACTGGAATAGATAAAAACAATATTTTTGGTGTATAGCCGATCTATTTTATTTTTATAACAAAATAGATTCAACAATTTTATGCGAAAAAAAGGCCGCAAAGCTCGGAAATATTTAATTTTATGAAAATAATACCGTACTTTGACAAAATAATGATATAAGTATGAAAAATATTACAACGAAATTACATGAAAAAAGTTCTGTCAGTACATTTGCGAGTGAAAAACTTCACGTCATTACTTATCGGTGGCATTTTCTTTCATAACAGTGACGAATCCTGGCATGCTACGCTATAAATTTTCCAGCATTTGATGCAAGGGAGCAGTGTATAGAGGGCTGCCGATCGGAAGAGTCGGCCTCATTTCCCTTTGACGTACACACGAAAATAATTTTGTAAACATTCAATGTTTGAATAATGACATGGTTTATTCCATGAAGGTTGTATAATAGGTAAGTTTATTAACTTATTTCTATTATCGGCAAATAATTGTATTTATATTTATTTGGTATACGATGCCATAGTTTTTTGATTTTTAATAAAGCATTTTGGAAATTCAATTTGTTTGTGTTTGTTATATACGTTTTAAACATGTACTGCCTCGGTCAATATAGGGTAATGTATGGTAATTTAAAAATAATTATCCAGTCACAAAACGTAATTTTAAATTATAGTTCGCTAAATAATAATTAGCATTCTCCTTATTTAGTTCAAGTTGGTCTAGTGGTTGGGCTTGCTGCTCTCGACCTTGAGGTCCCGCATTCAATGAGTATATTTAGCACTTGCGTACGGTGAAGAATATCACGCGAGGATATACGTTCTTGACGCAAAACTTTTCAGAAAAATTATCAACGACGCAAAAATATGTTTTGCACGTGGGATTTATGGCACTTCATAAAATATTTTTTTATATTTTAGAAACGCCAAATCTGTCACAGTCTGTTGTTAGTACAATCTACAGTATAATACACATGAATCACAAATTATGTATCTACAAAAATGCTTTTCTTGATAACTATAATAGTAATATAGGAAGAACATCAATTCAATATTTTTTTTTGTAATAGGTATATTATTTTATACATAGAAACTGTATAAATGTATTTCCTTATCGTTCCACCATTATAAACAAAGCAATACTCTAAAAACGAAAACACATTGATATTTAAGCTACAAAATTTATTTGGTTGAACACCCTAATCTCAGGAACTTTAGGAATATCGGTATGCATTAACCTCAAAAAGATTTTTAAAGAAAGTCTATATATATAAAAACAGGTTTTCATTAAAAGGAGCAAAGTATGAATAAAAAATGTTGCAACGGTAAAATTTTATCCATGGAGAATAGCTAATAATAAGTTTGAATATTTGATGGCTCCGTTGAAATGGCCTTAAAACCCTGTGATTTTGGGGACGATGAAGAAGGCCGGGAACTTGAAAAATCCAGAAAAGAATACGTACAAGTGCTGCGTGATTTAAGAAAACAACACCCTGAAGAGGATATAGAAACGGTCGAGCGCATGGCACTAGAAACATTAATGGCAAAAGGGCCAAAATCTCGTGCATTTTACAGGGTGGCAGCTACGCGTAAAATGACTGGTGGTGGTGACTTTTCCAGAAAAATATCGGTCGCAACCTGCAGGCAGCTGTTTAATTATATCAATGTCTTCTATTTGCCTTGAACCTAAATCCTTATGTATATTATAACCCCTCTACTTACGACGTTTGCGATATACTCGTACATATTATTATGACGAGACTGTTAATGCCGTACTTATGTACATACGAAGATTTTATATAATTATTATTATGCTAGTGCTAGGTAGATAGTAAGCAGTGTCTGTAATAGTGGTGGTGTGTATGTAAAATATCATTTGATATTATTTTATTTATTGGATATTTATTTATATTGGTATTATAAATATTCCATAAATTATCTAATTAATTATGGGTGACGTTTAGTCGTTGTGATAACGTTTTATTTTTATTATCGAAACATATGCGGCCCTGAAAAGGGCCTTTTTTTGTTAGTGTGTCATATATACAAAAGTATACGACCGAACTCAACTTAACCGCCGAAACCGTAAAGCTGATTAATAGCAGCCGAGTTTCATCATCGGTCATCGAGGCAGAATACGAAACCAACCGTATCACCTCGACGTCAGTCGTTGTAGGTACAGCGCGTTTCTTTAGGCAGTTTTCGCCGTGCACCAGCACTATGTGGAACCAGCTGCCCACCGATGAATTTCCGAAACAATGCGACTTAGGTTCCTTCAAGAAAAGAGCGTGCCAATTCTCAAAAGGCCGGCAACGCACTTGCGAGCCGTCTGGCAATGTGAGTGTCTATGGGCGGTGGTATCACTTAGCATCAGATTCGAATGGCCGTTTTTATTGAAACCGCTGATCAATGCGTTGTTTATTTATTAGTTACTCACCTCTTAAAGACTCCGCCTCATTTTTCCTAACTACATAGAGGTATTTTGGACTCTCAGGTAATATAAATAACACTGGTAAACATATTATGACTAGCAAAGCGTACACAGACAAGAGGTAGGGCCAGTCGTTGGGTTTGCCTGAAATAATAAATGTATGAAAATATACTCTGTGTACAGAAATCAAAAAGAAATAAATTAATTCTATTAAGCCATTAGTTCGTGAACGGGGTCTAATTTACGTATTTATATAGATTAAAATAATTTCTCGAATCTCAATTCTCAAGTATGCGCGTAGCTTAGCGAATATGAACTTTATGGTAATTACACAAGTCTCAATTTTAATTGGAGTCATTTAGCAACATTCATCTACTTTAACTTAAATTTAGAATAATTTTTACTTGTCTTCCTTGATGAGACCTATATCATTAAAGCTAGTCCATACAAAATGTTTATATAATTTCAGTCTGTATAAATGAACGATTCACATGCGAAATTAAAAAAAAAATACCTAATAAATATTGTAGTCCCATAACCTGACCCACTAAAACGCCAACATTGACCCCCATAGGACAGGCAACACCCATGGCCCCTGTAAGACTGGGCGGGGCTAACTCTGTGAGGTACATTGGTTTACTATCAATAAAATTCAAACGAGGCAAAGTTACGATCTGTCTCTATTAGGGGGCTCACAGCATATAAAACGTATAAATTATTATTTTGTAACAATGGTAACAAAAGCGGTATTTTCTAAAGACTGCGTATAAGGGAGATTGGACACAAATATTACAGTTATTTTGCCTACAAATTTCATCAAATGTAAAAGATTTCAAACTTTATTGATATTTCATTTCATTATTGATAATATTGACCTAATTATAACAGAATTATTTCTAAATGGATTCAGAGCAATTAAATAAATTTTAATAGCAAGATAAAATAAATGTTGTTCCATTTGAAATTTCTTTACTAAAAGAAATTAAAGAGAAAGCCCAAATGCGTTGCGGCATTTATATTTCTCAGAAACTATAGCTCAGTGCTAAGTCTGAAAGGTTAAACAATTTTATAGCAATTAGTTATAAGGCGTCAAATGTTATCATTGATAAATAAATTCAAAAGGCACAGTAAAAGGTTTTTCATAATCCACTAATTAATAAAGAGAAAAATAAAATCTGTGCTCAAATAACGTGAAAACACTTTTCAATTTCGAAAGGGTTTATTAAAGCACTTTCAATAAGTAGGGTTCACAGAACCCATTTTCGGTTAAAAATACTTAAAATCTTTTTATAATATTGTAGATTTGAGTTTACCTTACTAAACTTTACAATGAAGAATCTCAATGAATATTGAAAATTGTTACTTTTGGAGTCAATTGAAGTTATTCAATTCCTTCATTATTGTCAGTTCGAATAGCTTTTTAAATTTCACAAACTCGATTCTTTAATCGATTTAATTTTAAATTACACAAAATTTCAAATAAATGAGAATAAGAGTTCATTATATTCTAAAAATTATTAATTGTTTGTCATAAACATAGCAAGTTTATTTGTATATTCAGAAATAGTTGCTTTATTTATTTGAATATACAAATACATCTTAAATACTTAGGGTATTCGTTTAATAACTAGAAAGAATCAACAGTGTGAAGGTTGGCATGTTGCCAATATCACTGCCAAACAGATATCTTTTATTCAGTAAACTCAAAGTTTTCACGACATAAATCTAAAGTACCCTCTTGTTACTTTCATGAAAATGTAATGAGAAAGAACTTTTTATGGCTAATCCTTTCGAAATAAACTGTTTGAAACGGCGTCCATTTGAATTTGCCTTTGTGAGAAAGTTTATTTGCAAAGTGTAACAAAAAGTAATAGTGTGAAAGAGATGTTTTTATTGCATCACTGTAGGAGTAAAGGAGGTAGAGATAAAGCAAGGTATGCTAGAGGGAATTTTTGAATTGCAAATGGGGAAATGAAACTGCCTTGGTCGCTCCCCGCATCTTGAGTTATAATCATCCTAATAACATGGAAGTTTATGTAGCGATCAAAGCTGAAGCCTAAAAGAAGATGTCTGTATTATGTATTCAATTAACTTAAGCGGGTCAGTTGTTAAGTCTTTTGAATAAAATTATACTAGGTAGTTAAGTCTAAATAGCAATAGTTAAATTACTTCATACTTTCATACTTGACGGCTTTGTGTGCATTCATTAAATTACCAAGTACAATCTTGTTTACATTACAATACAAAATACCATCCGTGTCACCTCGATGTCCGTCGTTCCACAACTAAGCGTTTCTTAAGGTAGATTTTGCCGCGCACCACCACTATGTGGAACCAGCTGTCCACTGAAGTATTTCCTAACCACTTTTACTTAGGGTCCCTCAAGAAAAGAGCGTACCAATTCTTAAAAGGCAAGGCTTTCTTCTGGCAAAGTGTCCATGGGCGGCGGTATCACTGAACATCAGATGAGTCATTTGCCTGTTTGCCTCCTATTACGTAAAAACATCTTTAAATTTTAGAGGCTAAATAAAGGTTGTGCGTTTTTTTGAATTGGTATTTGACAGAAAAAAAAATTACATTAAATTAGTATTAGTATAAGTATTTAAACATTACACTTATAATTGAATGCAACGTGAAGGACGGGTTGGTACGCGACACTGAGTTGGGTGAATATAATTCAACCGTGTAACATTCCGCCGCAGATTGCATTCCCGGTAAAACAGCAGCGTTTTCGTTAATTACGCGAAAATTGTTGTCATATTGTATAATCTAAAGTAATATCGATACTAGTTTTCAGAGTGTTCCTTTGTTTGTTTTACTGAACGCCCTCATCACGGGAACTACTGGTTCGTATTGAAAAATGAGTTTTTGTGAATAGTATTTTATCAAGAATATCGCGAGAAATATTTGAGAAAAGATTCAATGTCAAATTATTAAAAATAATTACATGTTCTTAGTAATTAATATTTTTTTAGTGTTCACTAAAAATTGAGTGTCAATAAAGATGGAAGGGCAGGACAATAGACAATGTATATGTTAACGTAAAATTGTAAAAACCGTTAGATTGTAATCTATCTCGCGAGATTATAAACTGTCGAAAGATTGTGAACCTCAGCGTACTGCTTACAATTTAACGTATTATTATTCGGTAGATTGTAATCTGTCGAAGTGAAACCGTCAAATTGTGAAACGGCCATTTCCTACTTTTCTATTGGTTATAAGAGATGTGACATTCTCGTTTTCTATTGGTTATAAGTGATGTGACATTCTCGGTAAATTAATCGAATCGATTATTTCCTCATTTGTTAATTTTAAAGTTGAACCTAATCGAATGGATTATTTCCTCATTTGTTAATTTTAAATTTAAACCTAATTTAACCATTACTTGTCAAATGTACATACATTACATTAACTTCATGTTTCAATTAGTGTAGGGTTCCGAAAATTTTGAAATTATTCAAAAATAATCTATTTTTTAAAAGTGAAAATCGATTTTTGTATTCGTTTTTGTATTCGATTTCGAGTTTCAGTTGAATAGTTATTTTAAAAAAAATATTAATATACTAACCTAACCTAACCGAATAATAATACATTTTTTGGACAGCACCGGCGCTACGGGAAATGCAACCCCTCCACCCTTGCGTACCAAAGCACAGGCAATTTATTCAAGCCTCCGCAGCTTGCATAATGCCTGTGCTTTGTTACAGCGGGTGGGGGCTGCTCTTCCACTGCGCCTCCGATTTTTTTATATACACTCGAGGGGTAGGGCAGACAAGACCACGTGGATAGTGGGGTGCTCTGATTCGGTTTTGGGTACTTTTTGAATAATTTAAAATTTTTCGGAACCATACACTAATTGAAACATTAAGTTAATGTAATGTATGTACATTTGACAAGTAATGGTTAAATTAGGTTTAAATTTAAAATTAACAAATGAGGAAATAATCGATTCGATTAGGTTCAACTTTAAAAATAACAAATGAGGAAATAATCGATCCGATTAATTTACCGAGAATGTCACATCACTTATGACCAATAGAAAACGAGAATGTCACATCTCTTATAACCAATAGAAAAGTAGAAAATGGCCGTTTCACAATTTGACGGTTTCACTTCGACAGATTACAATCTACCGAATAATAATACGTTAAATTGTAAGCAGTACGTTGAGTTCACAATCTTTCGACAGTTTACAATCTCGCGAGATAGATTACAATCTAACGGTGTTTACAATTTTACGGTGACATATATAAAGACCATCGATTTTGTATATATGTAGTTAAAACATTCGAGCCAGTTATATCTGTTATTTAATTTTAATTTCACAAAATTGGTTATTTAAATCTATTTTACCGTATTTATAAATTGAAACTTTATATATTTTCAGAATCAGAAGTCCCAGATAATGTTGTCCGGAAGTTAATGTCACCAAGGCAACAAGTATTTATGGAATTATTACAGACTGAGTCGAACTATGTTGGAATACTACAAACAATTGTCGCAGTAAGTTTATATTTGATTTGTGTCACACACATTTATTGTGATTGTTAGTTTCTTTTAAAAATTATATAAAACTACAGCTGTGCCATACTCTCTTGTAACTGATTGAGTAATAATGAACCTAATTGGCATAATTGAATATCACCTTTCGGGGTTTACAATAATTGATAATAGATGGCGCTGATATGTCGAATTACCGAAACCATTTATTTATTTATAAGTTCTAAAACAATGTGTACGCATAAAATAATACAAGAAAATATGACAACACAAATTTTATACACACACACATCAATTATATTAGGACATAAGCAAGTTAGCAAGGGAAAAAAATAACATGCAACCACAAAATAATAACTCAAAAAGTATTAATAATAACGAAATCTAAAAAAAAATAATAATAACTAAAACTAAATGAAAACTCAAACAATAAAGTTACGGTAAGTTGGAAGATTGTTGTAAAATATATTAATATTTTCGTCAATGTTAGTAATCAAGTTGGAAGAGCGAGATTGTTTGATTTTCTTATTTACTTTTTTACACATTTAGTACCCAAACATTGTGTATGCTTGAAAACGAAATGCATTTTCGAGGATTTTTGAGAGCTTTGCTTACTTTTGCTGACAAGAGGAGGGGGGGGGTGATAAATTGCAGTAAATCTGCTTACGTAAAACTTAAACGGGTCTTCATTTTTCTTATTAAAATTGAAAATTACAGATGTTCAAACAACCGCTTGAAGAAATGGCAGAGGAAGATACGAATAATGGCAAAAACCAGGCATTGCTGAACAACACGGAACTCAAGATTATATTTGGGAGCTTACCACCGATATTTGAATTACATCAGTAAGCTTACTTATTCTGTCCAATAACCTCGCATATATATTGTCATAGCGACATATTGTCGCTGTAGAAGGACTTATTTATTAAAAACATAAATAAGTCCTTACTTCATGATAATCCCAGTTAAATGACATAGAGTCTAAGAATAAAAGTATTTATTTATCATTATCTACATATCATTAATAAAATAACAATAAAAACAATAACTTACCTTGAAATATAATAACTAAAATATATTATTAACCCGAGTCCCTTCAGGCAAGGTTTCGAACATACTGGCAGCGTTCGCCCTTTGATTAGTTAGGCTGCAATAAAAAATTGGTAAAAGTATCAGGGTTTTACCACACGTGACGATATATATATTTTAGTTAATACAGTGTAATGTAAAAAATATAGACTACAAAACTTAAGTTGAATTAGTATTCAAAATAAACAAAAAAATACACTTAAAAATCCCGCCTCTTTAAGTTGAATTTTCAGCAGTTAACTCATATGTATCTTGAAGTTCTTGCTAACTCGATTTTTTTGCATTTCCATTTCCATTCGAGTTTTAGAGATTCCACTGTAAATAAGCGCAAAGCTAATGTCAGCTAGCTTAGCTAATGTTAATCATCGCACACTTGAGCCTAAGAACATTCTCGTTTTCGATAATGTCCAATAGGTCGACTACACATATATTGAAGTGTCATTTAGATTTAAAAAGCCCTTCAAGCCCTTTTTAAAATGATTAAAGCCAGATTACACCCAGCTTCAAATAAAGAGAAGAAAGAGAGAGAGTTTCATTTATCATTTATTTGAAAATCACTCCAACAACCGTCACCGAACTTAACTCCTACTATGGGGAATAACTCAATATTTTGTCACTGATTTCATAATTTAAACTCAAGTTTTTTGTGTTAAGTTTGACCATACAAAAAGACTGATTAATATTTCTAAATTAAAATACCATCCAAAAAATACCTACTTAACTATTTTTATTAATTTTAACTATTAAATATGGACTAATAAATAAATGTAAGGTTATTTCCAAATTATAATTATATTAGCTTGATAGCTAATATAATTATAATTTTAGTCAACTTATTTATTCACAGGACAATACTATTAATAATTTATGATCACATTTCATAGATTTTTATTATACTTGATAAATGATATTAAAAACATAAATTATTGTCGTTTAACTTTACTACCCTACGTAAATTAATACCGGTCTGCCGGCACTTAATTACATCACACGTATATGGAAGACGTAATATAAAATATACTAAATAAAGTTATTTATATATACTCAATGAAAGACTAGTAAGCCAAGAAAGTAAAAAGTTTAGGTACATACGATTTTAAAAGAGGAATACGCCGCCAAAGAATCTTTATTGATAGGTTTATCACAGAAAACTTCACTTATTACGTGGCACAATTTGATGTTTATCACAGGAAAGTCGCCGTAAAGGGTATTTATGAATTTCTTCTTTTAATAATTAACATGTCTACGCGGGTAGAAAATTCAAATTGAAACTTTTTTGAATTCAATTCTTTGGCAAATTTATTTTTAAGTCTTGTTCATATTTATACAAAGCTAAAACTTCAGATTTCCGAGACAGAGGGAGGGAAAAAGGAAAAATTATTACAAATTATTAATATTTTTTTTAAATCATTTCTTCGATAATAAAAACACTTGGCATTTTAATTTACAATTCCTCATTTGAGATTTCAATAAATTATTTTGCATAAAATCTAAAATACTTATAAAAAATAATTAATAAAATCCCTTTACGAAATTTTAATTTTAAAAATAGAATACAGTCAAAACCGTTTATAACGACATCGTTTACAACGACCTATCGGTTATTACAACCAGATTGTATGGTCCCGTCCGAATCCCTAGTAAACTATTCAGTAAAGAAACCGCTTATAACAACATCGGATACAACGACATATCGCTTACAACGACGAAAGTTTATCGATATTCATCGGATATAACGACCAACCGCTTCTTGTCTCAGTAAAACAAAACAATACAAACGATTTTAAATTTTATTTATAAGCATTGAATGAATATATTTAGGCATATTATTACCTACGCACTTTCTCCCAACGAACAGTTTCAGCCAACAACGATTTCCGAGGCTCTTAACGTTGTAATGATTTTGCAAAAATTTGTTGCCTTTAACGAACAGTTTGATACTGGTGATACTCATACCTTGAGGAGTATGAAACGTAAAATGCAAAAAATATTTGAGACTGGGCTAAAAAAAAAAAACAGACTGACTGATTACTTTTGTACCTAATTATTTCGTAATAAATATTTTTGTTTCTTTTTTGACTCGTTTACATATTATAATATTAACATACCATATTATAACCCATACCTACCTATTCTAGATCGATAACTATATACATACATATGTACTGTACTTGTGTACATGACATTGCTTATAACGACTATCGGATATAACGTCGGCAACTATACGGTCCCTTCAATGTCGTTATAACCGGTTTTGACTGTATCTATAAGGTAATTCACCCTTCTCACTCTCACTATCTCAATCGGTCTCAATCGCTCTCTCCCTTTTCTTCGACAAAAACGCAGCACATCTTCGTGACGTAAAATCCGTAAAAATTTTAACCTCATGCGCCTAACATTACTGCATACACGAATTCAAGTACGACCAGTCACCACAAGTAGCACCCGTTCACGAGTATGGCGCATGGCCAGCCATCGGCCCCCTGGCCATATTTTAGGGAGAGAGACAACCCGACGTATGGACGCCGAACTTTGAATCCAGTCAAAATCTTAAATATATACACTAATTAAAGTTACATAATCACACAGCTCAGTATTAAGGCGATTTAGATTAACTATATTTAGGAGCTAAGATCATATCGCCCATTTATTACAAGACTCAGTAAGTCCCAGAACTGTAATATAAATCACGTCTAAGACGTATTTCGGTCCAAGATTACAATGTTATGAATAATATTAATAGTGCGATTGAAATTATTTCGACTATGTATTTGCGTGTTGTTCCCACGAGAATGTAAGTGCATGCTCCTATTTCACCATGCCTCCTGCTGATTTATCAAGGACAATTAGTCTTTGTTTTTAATTTATGTTATTATTATTAATTACTTAAGATGTCATGTGGAACATGGTGTAATGGTTGCAGCTCCTTACAGACGTTGTGTAAAAAAAACATGGCGATTAAAAAGAGTGGCGGAGAGTTTATTGCCAGTTCTTCTCTTCCGTTCTACGCCCTTGATTTGAGAACTGACGAATCACAAGTGTATATTGAGTTACCTACGTGAATAAATGATTTTTGAATTTTGCAACCGGAAGGATAAAGAAAAATATTCTATTTTTCGTAAACCTATTATCATCCAACGGATGTTTGCTTACTCAGTTTATGTATCATTAGATATCCGTCCTAAGCTTCATTTGATCCATTTACGAAATAAAGATACAATGAATTGTCCTTTCACCCTGGGCAGGGCAACTAATACTGTTAATACTTAGGGAGGAGCATAATAAAATACTCGAGAGACGTTTATTAAGTTAAGCCGCTTAGATCGCGGAAGTGAAAAAAATTCTAATTGACGATTATAAACAATTAATTACATAAATTCTTATGACGTCATATTATTATAAATTATTGTATATTTTATTAGACGTGCACATAATATCGAAATTGAATATAACAGAGGAATGTAACACTTGCAAAAGCTGACGGTTTCATAACTTTATATGAAAAGATTTAGAAAACCGAAAATTTTGCAATTACTAAAAATGCTAATGTTGCCATCCATTAGACAATTGTTGAATTTAATTTTTTCGGATATCTGTTTGTTGTTCTGGCATTGTGTAATTCACTAAATATTTTTTTCATAGTGAAAATTATTTAGGTCTTGAAACTTTACGTGTTTGATTAAGAGTGTTATTTCGTTATTTGCTGCAAACTACGCCAAAAATGAAGAGAATGTTATAATTCTAAATTCGAAAGAAACTTTTATTATAAGTGATAAAGACGCGTTACAATTTAACTAAATTAAAAAAAACAGTAGTTGCCACATATATTTTTTATTGTATAATCTAAAATGATCAAACAAAATATCTTCGAATTAAAATTTAAATGACAAACCAAAAACTAGCGTCTTTTCCACATACTAAAAAACAAATTAAATAAAACCAGTTAACACATAATAGATACTCCAAAAAAGAAATTAGCCAAAAGAGGAGAGCTTTCTGCAACAGAGAGGAACAAACACAGACCACAGAAGTCTCGTCCCGATTGGGAAAAATTAGATTTAATTAACTACTGGTTAGGGCCCGGGAAAAATCAATTTAAAGCCAGGTGCACTGTTTGTGACGTCAAAATGGTTTCAGAATATGGAGTTCTAAAGTTACACTCTTCAAGGCAAACGTAGCCAGTAATTTTATAGAAAACTATCCACTGTTATGTCATATGTGGTACGATCTTTTCATTTCAAAATTTCTTGGAATACGATTTTTTTGTAGTTGGTGTACGATTATACGGTTTTTTCATCTGGCAGCCCTGCATCCAACCCAAGCTTGAGTTTACCTTCTAGCGTCAACTTTCAAAGGAGCTGGGATGATCCTCTTTGTAAATCTGAATTTCAAAACTTATTAGGTCACACATCAATAACAGACCGCGCAATGTTGGTGGGTGTGGGGTCTAGGGAAGCAACATCATATGCCTCCGTCAATGTTCCGAATCCTGGGTAATACGAACATCTGAAAGGTGAAATTTAGATGCTTTTGTATTGTGTTGGAGGCGGATGCTTAGGATTAGTACCACTTCCTTAGTTGCCCAGGGAATCCTAAGCACAAACAAGGACAAACGTGTCGTAAGACGGTTACAGGTAAAAAATCGTCTTTCGACACTTTGTTACCAACGCACCTGTGTTTATTGGATGTTACGCAGAGATCTAGAAAGTTTCTCATCGTGACTGGCAGAGTGACCAGATCAAAGTCAAAGTCAGATCAAA